GCAGGAGGAGGCGGTGAGACTTGATGTTCTGCAGTATGTCTGTTTATCACTTAAATTTTGTTTTCTGTCTGTCACTGTCAGGGCCAACACACATAAGAACCACCACTCCAAGGCATACATCATCAAAACTGATGCAGGGCAGCAGGGGAATTATCAGCAATCTGGCATGTTTCTGGTATATGTGTAACCCAAAGTGCAGAGCTCCACCTGCTGGTCAGAGAGAGCTACAACAGCACTAAACAGGCCTGAAGCACCAACATTTGGATTTACGACTGCAATGTCCAAAGTCATTTTACTGAATGGGACACCGTAGCTTTACCAGCAGGTTTATTAATGGACAAAGAGCCAGCATCAATATGCACTGAGCAAAGACAACCAGCTGTGATATTATGTTAATTTGAAGCAGTATAAGGAGAGCCCTCTTCTATATATACATGTAGTATGAGTCCGACATAAAGTAATTATACTAAACCCTTGTGTTTTGTTGAAACTGGCCTCACTTCCTTATTGTCTGGGGCCCCACAGCCACCACTGCTGTGTGTAAAAAAATCTAATAATTGCAAAATAAACAATAGTTTTTCTTTTTTTGATCTTATTAAAACCCAGTATATAGAAAAGTATTGAAGTAGTAACTCTTTCCTTTGCCACAAACGGGGCTTGCTTATTCAGTGAAGGTGAAACATTACAGAAATGCCCATTGAGAAATGTTATATCACTAAACAAGGAGATATTTCATGTTTTTGTTTAATCTCATATGGGCTACACATCAACAATTATATTGTTTGACCCCACCCCAAAGAGGTGACCCCCTGTTAAACCTACTACTTACAAAACTGCAATAACGGAAATTTAAGTAAACTTATTTAGGACTTTTTGGGTGGGCAGTGCTGCGTAAAAAGTTCTCTTAGACCTCAAACAGAAGTAATGCATAATTTTTGCAGCTTTTGAAAGATGTCAGTTCATGATTAATGACAATTGTTACAAATATAGGACAAGTCATGATTTATTAAAAAATATTATGTCTGTTTTTTTGAGTTGTCAAAGAGGGGCGGGGTCTCCAGGAACCCAAACAGTACATTAAGATCAATATTTCAGAGGTTCTCAACCTCTGCAAGGGGTCGTAATGTCAGTCTCAGGGGTCACAAAATGATTCACAGCATTGGACAGCGTAAATATTTATTATGGAACTTCTGGGAATCTTTGGTATTTTTTCTTGTAAATTATTAAATAATTTTACCTAAAGATTACTGATATAAATCAATCTGGGAAGGAAAAACTGCTCTTTGGCTAACTGTTGGCTAACAACTTGGAGACACGTGCAACCTCAGATGAGGGGCCACAAATGGCTTTATGGGGTCACAAGCTGAAGAAAAAGTAGAGCTGAGCTATAATTAAAAATTCAACAGATACTGTCCCCTGATGGGAACACCATGTGGGTTTTGCAGTGAGACTCAGACTACCCTCAAATGAATAAGTATGTTCCTAGAGCAGGCTGGGATAACCTAAGCTCTTGATGCTTCTTCAGTGGATTCCTATTAGCAGAGCTTAAAAGCTGTCATTTCAGTTAAGCCAAGGCAAATCACCTGAGCTTCATGTCTAACGGGGAGATGGAAGCAAAACTGAAATCAATGACGAAATAGGCAAATGACGAAACTGTCCTATGGGGAATAGAAAAGAGCAGAACAGAGTAAAACAGACATGAATAGAGCAGCGTAGACAACATTTATAGAATCAAGCTTTTCCTCTGCCAACTGGCCACACATTGAGGAGAGGCCTGCACTACAACTCCAGGGCTCTAATTACCATGTGATTAACCTCTTCAGGATTAACCGGGCAGCGAAGAGACACGAGAAAGGTCAAAGGTTGGTTGCTTAAACAGCCACTCCAGCATGAAGGGTGGTCTACTACATGAAAGGCCACACTAATATCTGGCCGCTTGTGTTCAAGCATCTTTACAATACGTACTGTAGCATTCGTCCCGCAGTACTCATCCCTCCGTGTTAAATTTCAACAGCATGCAAGGTCAGTTGCCTTATTATCGTAAAAATAAAAAAACTGCTGTACTCAATTAGAAAAAGGCTCTTTGAAAATATAAACACACCACCCAAACACCTGGTGTGTGTTGGCAGCCATGAGACAGACTGCAGGTGGGGATGAATTAAAGCAAGTCTTCACCGGAGGAGGTAATCATGAATAAAACATCACACTTTCGTACTTGTTGAGGCTGTAGCTTTTTAGCACTGCTATAACTCCTGGTTGTTGTCCCCCATTGGCAGGGGAAATGGGAAAAGATGATTTTTTTAAATAATAAAATAGAATCCAAAATAGATTTGCTACCTTGCACACGCTGACATAGTACGTCTTCAAGATCAGGTGCCAAACTGAATTAGGAAGTAAATGTGTGGTAACTGAAAAGGAAGGCAGATCCCTGCAATTCTTTAATGAAAGTGATTTTGGTTTTGTCAGTCTGTTACTCCAACAGAGAAACAAAGAAATATGGTAGCTGGGATGTGTGTGTGTGTGCTTGTAGAGCGTGGGCAGCTCATGGCAACCTGCCATTCTTCCAGTGTGTGTGTATCCATGACGGATAGAGAAAGCATGTGGGAATGTGTTAACCTTTCTGACCAGACGGGGACAGTGTCTCCAACCAAACAAGATCACCGTCACTGCCACTGTTTGAGGGATGTTTAACTGCTTTATTTTTTGATCCCATGCTGTCCAGTGACATAAATCCCAAGAACCTTTTAATCAGTCTTGCAGTGTAACCAGTGTAAGGGCACGGTCATACCAATACTGGGGCCGTCACCACAGACAGACCAGAATTAAAAACTCTGGTATACCGCAAAATACACATAGATTTATTGATATTGCATGAACTTGTTTAGCAAGGCTTGATTGGCAAGGCCTGATTGAATCTTATTTTTTTCTGTCATTTAGCATATCATTTCACATTTTTGATGTGAGCACAATAACAACTCACCAGCTTTCACATTGCTTCAGTTCAACACAGAGACTCAAAAATTAGCTTTCACAAAAGATGACAGAAGTGTTAATAAGTCATAGCACTAATCAGAAAATGTGAGTGCGTGAGCGAGGGACTAAACCAGGAGACGGAGCGAGACAAACTGAGAGAAAGAACGTGTTTACCAAATCTTCCCTGAAGCATCATCATCTACATTCACATAGACATTGAGTTGAAAGCTGCTTGTGTTCTTCCTCTATGATCTTATCTGATTGTTCTTTATCTTTTTGTTTACCAGGACCCAGATGAGGACGCGCATTATATCTCCCTTAAATCTCAGGCCCCTGTGTCATGTTTTTGTACTCGTCCCATTTTATTAAATAAGACAAAACTCTGGTGCTACTCACTACTTCTTTAAGACCATAAAACAATCTGCGCCAGCATGCACAAAGAGCTGTTATAAAAGGCATCCACACACATTCAAATGTACAGTTTCACACACACACACACAGAGCAACTGAACCAATCGTTTAAGGTCTCTGAGGCCTCGATAAGCTTCTGTAAATCAGCCACCATCCAGCAGTGAGTTTTATTCCCCTCTCTCTCAGTGGATGTTGGGTTATGACCCGCAGGCAGGAGGTTATTTATTGCTTCTGTCTCAACTTGTGTTGACTCCCAGCCACTCATCTATGGTTCTAGGCTAATAGAAAGGAGCACAGGGTTGTAGATCTGCAGGAAGCCTGCTCAGCTGCAGGGACTCGACTCAATAGTCTCCTCAGACCCTGGATTCTTAATGTCTCTCAATTCTCAGATTTCTTACTCTTTTTATAATGACCAAATCAAAATGAAAACCTGTGAGTAGACCTGGGGTGAATGAAAACCTATCAATAAGTGTTAGTGTGAATCAGGAAAAGAGAAAGGAGGGTTAAAGAGCTGAGAGAAGGCCCACAGACCATAAACATTTCCTAGCGGCTGCTGTGATAGACGATAGACAACATGCAGCCTGCTGCCCCGTATCTTTCTCTAGCACATAAGAAACATCTCTATTCTCAGAGATGGCTGCCTCCTTTGTAATAGAAAGTTGAGGTGTTATGTTGGAAAATAAGAAAACATGAAAGGAGTAAATTGTCAATGCCAGAATGAAACTTAACCTTGACACTCTGAGATGCTAAGACGGCTGTGAAAGACCTTCTTCGCCTCCTCCCCAATTCTTTCTTACCTTCACACAGTTGCTGTGAAACAATCTCAACAAGGCTGTCATCCTTTACAATGGACCGTCTAACCCAAACTGGCAACTCCAACCTCACCGTAGTTTGAAATACTGGCCCACTTGCCATTTCTACAGTGCTGACAGCAGCTGACAGTTAAGAGGAACAACCACACACTGAGAATATATGAGGGGGTCCTTGAGTGATGACAGCATGGGAAAGATGGAGAGCTGTGATGTAATGGAGACAAGGCCGCTGACTGATACTAAAGAGGCCAGTTTGTCTGCTCCAGTTCACAACCATTCATATCTAAGATCTATGTCTCTGAGGTGACAGCACTAACAGTTAATAGAATAATTCTACATCTGTGTCAGCTTTTTTGTGTGGTTAGCCAGTGTGTGTGTGTGTGTG